TCTGGGTGGCAGCCAATCATGTTACTCCAAAGGCTGCATTTGGGGCAATTTATGTAAGACAGGTCAACAGCGTGATGTAGTCTGACTCTGGACTTTTCCATCTTTAACACTCTCTCTCTCTCTTTTTCTACAGGCAGCAGTAACCATGGTTGACAGGTAGTATCACAGTCTGGGATTTTGTGTCACCTTTTTTCCTGTTAAATGGACTGGTTATTGGAGATACCTGCATGTTCTGGACTTTGTTCAGGCACACAAATGTTGTCTAGGCCACTAGAGCTATTGAAATATTTAGCATTTGTGTTTTAAGCTGCATCAGGAAAAGTTGCTCTAAGAAGTATAACAGTAAAAACTAGTTCATATCCAATTTCAGGAAACCCAAAAGGAGAGTTAGAGCCTCTGTTAAATCACTGTTTTCATCTTAGTCATAAGGAACTAATTTCACTGACTGAGAAACAGGATTGCTAAAGATCTCGAAAGAAATGCTCTGGATACAAATGGGACTAAAACTGAGCTCTCTAAATAGATTAGTAACAGGCTTATTTATGCATCAATACAGCAGAGTAGAAAGTCAAGCTGTGGGAACTCAAAACAAATACTGAAAGATTTTGGAGCAGTTGGAAGAAGTCTTAAGGCACACTAAACTAATTGCAAAAAACCCACCTCTTTTAATTGACTATAATTGTTAATGAAAACACAGAGAAAAGATACCCCTTTTTTTCAAATTTACGACACCTAGAGCCACAAGGTCCTGAATTAGTAGGTGTTGTAAATTCAAAATAATGAAAATTATGGAGCTAATAGATTACCTTGCACAGAGAGGTTGGGGAGATCTCACTCCCCTGCTCAGTGGGAGTGCAGTATGCAGCAGCCAGCTCACTCATGAGGGGGCACACAAAGGAGGTCCCTCAGTCCCATCAGCATCCAGCTCTCTTTGGCATCTTGGAGCACTGATCCAACGTATCTCCAAGCAACAGGCATGGGGGCCTGAGCTTTGTACAACTATGAAAACAAAATTTTAATGAAATACATGTTAATTTGCAGTGTGCTGTTCTTTTTCTCTTACAAATAGGTATCTCCAACACTATGGTACTTCCAATTAGAAATATATTTTTTTTTCCCTGCAACTACAGGCTGGAAGAATTCTTAAAGCAAGAAGTGAATTTAGAGCTTTCAACACTGCCAGACTTTGAAGAGCGGGTCATAGATTTCTCTGAAGTTGAACAACTCATGAACTCCATTAATGCTATTCCAGGTACTCTTCCTATCTGATCATTATTTCAGACCTATTTACATTTAATTAAGGATATGTGTTAAACAGAAATCTATTACTTCTTTTAAAGGAGAACAGCAAATGCAGGATTACCTTCTCCCTAGTTTTCATTCTAGGGTTGTTTTTTGTTTGCATCTATTTACAGAGACAGTGGCAGATATTTTTGGATATTATTTTTTTCATTTGTTTTCAGTATAAAATTACCAGAACTGCTAAGTTTGGCCTTCCCTGCTTTTGCTGGATGATTTCCTAGAAGACTGACAAAGATTACCCCTTTCTATTGAGGGGTCAGGCATGCTTAGTTGGTGATAATGTGTCTTACCTTGTAGTTGCTTGAAAGAAAGAGAGGAACACCAGACTGCTTTAAATAACCTGCACAGCTTCTCTTGATAACCAGATTTCAGTGCCTTGTTCCTCTGCTATTCAGCAATTTTTTTTCCTATTAACAGGAAACAGAACAAAACACAGTTTTAATTTAAGTTCTAATAACTGAAAAAAAAAAATTAAAATCTTTTCTGGGGCATCACAAATGGTCAGAAAGAGCAGTTTTTATGCACAAATACTGTGTTTTCTTTAAAGTAAAACAGCATTTGTCACTTGTTTGCTTGTGCTGCTGACCCCCTGTTGTACAGCTCTTCCCCCATCCCCTCCAGAGGCTCCAAGCCCCCGGGGGGGTCACAGCAGTGCAGGCTTGGCAGATGTTGCTCACTGGTGAATCCCAGCCCCCAGAGCAGGGGAGGTCGAGTTTACAGAGAAGGGGTAGGCTGAGGCTTATTTATTTTGTTGTTTTCATTTTAATTTGGAGCAAGACTAGTTCTCACACACCAGTAACCTGATTATTATCTGCAACTGTTTATGGAATCAGCTCCTGACTTTTCTCCATGTGGGAGGAATACGACCCCATTCAGTGCCAAGGCTTTGTGCAAACACCTTTGTGAGAGGAGAAGGACAATACACCAGGCTTATACATTCAAAAACTGACCTGTTTTCCCCTCTGCAGCTCCTTGTGCCCCTGTGATCAATCCCCAGGCTCCAAATGCAGCAACTGGCACCTCACTGAGAGTTTGCTGGGGCCTCTTCTCAGATGACACTGTGGAGGGATATCAACTGTGCTATAAACCAGTGAGCAACGAGAGGCACGGTGATGAGCGGGCAGGTAAGGAGGCCTGGACTCAAGGGGGCAAAACCAGCTGGCTCCAAAGTACTTCTGGACTTAATGTGGCAACCAGTGCACTTTCTGTGCCCTCTCTTTGTCACCAAAACTGTCATATCTGCCACCACATTTCCTTCTGGCTTTGTCCCTCTTCCCCTGCCCGGTCTGCCATGCTGCTGGCTGCAGCAGGACCCATCACAGCAGCAAAGACAGGACAGGGCAGCAGCAGGGATAGCAGAAATGGGAAGGGGACAATGGATGGAGTCGGGTCTCAGCAGTAGCATTTCCTTTCCTGGAGGGTGGGCACTGAATTAAGCACACATGTGCTGCATCCAGTGCAAAGCACAGTATTTTTAGAGACCAAATCATCATATTATTGGCACACCCACTGAAATCCCCTTAGTGATTTTACAGTTTATCTCAGTGCTAATAATAGGCTGTAACTCCCTATGATGCACATGCACAAAAAATTAAAAAAAGAACCACAGAACCATCCTAAAATGTCCCACTCTTGTGACAAAGCTGCTTTTGCTAATAAGATTCTTGCAGAACTGCAAAAGTGGAAGCCAGTAGAGGTGGAAGCTGGTTAGTTCAGAAAGAAAAGCATAAACTATGCAAATTTTCTAAGATGAAGAATGAGAAATGGGTAGTAAAATAGCTTCAGCTCTTGTCCCTCTGCTAGGATGAGCTGAGCAGTATCCCTGCAGTAGGAACATGCAGGGTCTTTTTGGAAAAAAAAAATTAGTGACAGATGGGTGATCTTTCTTTCTGAATTTTGGGTTCTGAGTGATGTAGCTTCTTCAGAAGCTGATGTGTTATCTGATTTATGCCTCTTTAGAGGAAGGCATGCTGAAACTGCCTGACAGCTAATCAAAGAGTGTGGAACACAAGGAGCTCTCTTGAACTCAGCACACAAAACAACATGCCTCAAGTCCACTATTTGAGGCAGCTTTGGGGAAGAGTGGGTAACTGTGTAAAAAAGCACTGTAAATGCTTTGTTGTTTTCGTTTCAGAGCATACCCTAAAAGTCAGAGAAACATACTGCACCATTACTAATCTGTTGCCGAATACACAGTATGAATTTTGGGTCAGTGCTTTAAATGCCTCTGGTATCAGTCCACCAAGTGAAAGAGCAGTTTATGTGACAGGTAAAAATATTTTATTCATACGACTATGGGACCTTCCTAGTGAAATTCACAGTCATCTCTGAATTTTATGCCAGTAATACTTTTTATGCCAGAAATACTTTGTTTCTTCTGATGTAAGCCTACTGATTGCATGGGAATTCCCTGCTTTTACTTGGACAGCCTATCAGGCCAGTTGTCCCTGCTTTAGAGTTGAAGAAAGAGAATCAGAAAGACAAAATAATTTCTTTAAATGCAAGGATGCAGACCACCTGCCAGTAAGGCTCAAGTCTCCCAGTTCTGTCAGATGGATGTCAGCTCTCCTTTTATTGGCCTATAGGTATTTTGTGGATTCCCATACTATGCTGTCCTTTGTAACAGCAGTTCAGTCAAACACATTGTGTGAAATCCTGACATCAGATGGAGCAAGCCAGAGTAAGACCTTCAAGTACTGGTTCCAGATGTGTTTGACATCTTAGAGCAGAAAAGAGATGCGTCTTTATGACAAAGATAAAACTAATGATAGAAAGAAAACTGTTGTGTAATTATTCTCTATGTTACTACTCTGTGTAATTCTCTTGGGACATTTATAGTCCAAATTAAGTATTTAAATGCTATTGTTAATTGCCCTGCCTGCTGTTTGTTGTCCATTGGGAAGCAGGTTTCTTTAACTATATAGTATTAGTAAACAACTTCGTTCTATTTTTTTTATGTCTTCAAAGCATGTTTGTTGCAAACATCTTCAAGCAACAACTTAGAATTGTTCTTTTGCCTACCTTTTAGCTCCTTCACCACCTATCATAAAGAGCAAAAAGATCCGAAGCTGTGAAAATGCAGCACTGGTGTGCTGGGAATCTGGAGACATTAACCCTGTCGATTCCTACACGGTTGAACTGTACAAGCTGACAGATGAACCAAACGATGATACTGTTACTGAGTGAGTTACTGGTTTTTTGAGTCCCATGACCCTTTTGTGAATTTACCTGTATAAACGTTCCTCTTAGTAAAATTAATTGTATAAATGTTAATAAAAAATTACTATATGGGAATGAGCACTGGTATGGGAATAGAGCAGAAGCACCTGCACCTGTCACAGACTTGCAGGTCTCTTGGCCCTGTTACTGTACAAGGTAGAGTGCTGATGGGTTACAAAAGAACCTGATCATATAATTTCTTCTTTGTTGTTCAGAAAAATAATCTCAAAGGCCTACCTTTGTTTTCTACCCTATAATTTTCCATGGATTTATTTTCTGTAGATCTATTGTTGGGATTCCTAACTGTGAAGTCCTAATTCACCTCCAACCAACACAAAGGTATCACATCTGTGTTAGAGCCCAAAACCTAGGTGGCTCCAGTGAAAGAAGTGAACCTGTCCTGATACACACCACAGGTACTGTACAGCTCAGAACAACTCCAGCAGCTTATTGTTGCATTTATTATCTCAACAGAAAGATTCCTGCTGGTTTCAATAGCCTCTGGATCAGGTTTTAATCTCTTACATCTAATTAGACACACCTGGTAACCTTTGAGGAATAAAAAACCCAACTTTTTGTAACAGTAAGTGCATTGCTTTAGCTCTGTAATTTAAAAAATATTTCTGTCCAGTACATTTGATACTTGAAAGTTACTAATTTCTAAACATTTTAAAAGACAGTATCAATCCAACGCCCCCAGATATTGCTAGCTTGCCAAGTACTGACACACCAATGAGGAAAGTTGTAGTGTGATTTTACTTTACCTCAGAGATTTCCTTGTAATGATGCTACTGTTGGAAAGTATGGCTGAGACAGCACTTTCCAGAGTCATTTGGGTATGCAAAAATCTTCCTCTGTATTCATTAGAACATCTCCAGCTTGACTGGGGAAGCTCCAAGGGGTGGTTCTTTTTATTTATCAGGAAAAAGGCAGTCCAGCTTTCAGCTGGAAGCTTTGCTTTTGGCAACTGACACAGCATTAACAGCTGCTCCCAGTGCCACACTGCACAAGGATTAACCCACCCCAAAGGGAAGTTGGAAGCCCTTTCCCCTTCCAAACATCTAATTAAAGCTCATTTTGATGACTTAGAGGCACACACCTGTTTTCACCTTCATCAATGCTGAAATGACACTGCAACTTCACTAGTTTGTCTCAAACCTCCCACATCACTCAGATGTATTCACACCTTGCTCTTACCTTCTGTGAGAGATTTGCAAATTGCATTTATTCAGCAAGCTGACCACACAGCCATTAACTGAAAGGTTACCTAAAACCCCTGTCTGCTACACATCAGTGACACCACAGAAAAGAAATCCTCATCCTCAAATCCCTAGAGAGGTAGACTGTCATTATGTTACCATCATTTGTGTGCATTCCAACTGCTTAAATCAAACTCAATATTTGAAATTGCCCATTCTGTTTGCACAGCATGTGTTTGTTTTCAGCAGCACATGCCTGTAATTGCCCTGCCATTGTTTGTATTGTATTTGCATTGAAGTAACTTGCAGTTTGATTATAATGATTTCATTTGGGATTAGCATGGGGAGATTTATCATCTCCGAGTCGAGTCTACATTATGCAAACAGCTGATGCAAATTGATCTGTCAACTGCAAGAACCCTCCTCCAACACTGTGAATGACCTTTGGTCCTTTCTGGGGTGGATACACAAGCACCAACCACAAACAGCAGCTGTGATGGACGTGGCTGCTCATCCAAGCGCAGTGTCAGGCCGGCTTTGGGAAGTCTCCGCAGGAGGAAAGGCAGAGGCACTTCTACCCTGGGCTGGACTTACCTCTCTGAGGGCTGATCTGACAAGGGATCCCTTATCTTCAAACTTTGCCCTGCATTTATATGGAAGAGTGAAGCCATGGAGAGGCCTTTAAGCCCCCTTTCTCCTTTCAATGATTAAAACCAGATCACTTCAGCTCTGAGGAAAATCACTTGAAACCAGACAGTCCATCCCATCTTTGAATAGCCACTTCCTGTGCAATGCCCGCTGCTTTGAGCCCTGGTAGGGTTCAAAACCAGGTTAAGCCCCCTGCTTTTCATAAGGCTGAAACTAAACATTGTTAAGATGTAAAACATCAATTATTAGAAAAAATTTCAAATAGACAATCTTGTCCTCTCAGTGTCAGCCACAGATTCCTCCAGAGCACTGGTAAATCTTTTTGGAGATCCAAAAAAACATTTCACCACACCCTTGCTGTAAATCCTGATGCTATAAGAAGTTTCTGGAGTTATCCTCAGGCATTTTCTCTTGCAGGCACCTGCTTCTACCTTAATGAGGACACAGCCCATCCTTTACTGGCAATCCTAGATGATGGATTTACAATTTCATGCGATGAACTGGAAAACCCAGAGTGTGATCTGCCCGTCTATGATAACAGCTTTACAAGGTATACTGAAGCACTTCAGTTTGGGTTTTTTAACAGATGCCAGGAAATGTCTAATGGGGCTTTCAGCAGCTCTTATTAATTTTGTGAGCTGAAATCTCTCTCTCTAGCTGCTCTTTGGAACTTAAGCACCACTTGGAAGTTAATGCAAATTCTTAAAGAGGATTACAGATGCAATAGCCACAATTACATACAAACCTGCTTACATGTTTGGCACATTGAGCTAAATTTTTTAAATGCCCCCAAAAAAATGCTAAGGAAAGGAGAGGGATCTGAAAACTTAACTCTTGCTGAAAGACATAACTGATACTATTTGGACTGACAGATTTTACTTTCAAAAAAGAATTAGGCCCTTTGCCATTGAAGTGAGAGACTAAGCTTGCCAAAATGCATGCTACCAGTCAAAACCACAGAAACAGCACATAACTAGGACAGGCATCTGCAGACACAGGATAACAGAAGTCCACAACTTAGTTCCTCCATGGAAACGCAATGTTACTAGAGAGCTCAGTAGAAAAGAGTCGGGAAAACGATCATTCTCTTCATTAAAGTCATCATGATAAGCTTGAATGGGATTTCATCTCACTTCCACAGAGTGCTTTTATGTTTCACGGAAACAGCCAGAGCTGGCACTTATCTCATTCTAAGGCTGAGGTTTTGGTACCACTGTGAACTTTCAGAAGTCTCTTTCATGCTAAGATACAGCTCTCATTACTATGGTCATTTTTGTTCACAGATTTTTACCCATCCATTTTGCATCATTCCTTTTCCTTCTCAAGCTGTAGCAGCACAATCTCCACAAGTCCTGATTTCAGCAGCCTTTAAGCTATTCCCAAGACATCTATGTGCACTTGCAGTGAACTGTACACTTGCTTTAAGCAACTGCTGCTGCAGTGGCAGAGCAATGCTATCATGCTGCATGTACCCATCCTTACACACCAGGCCCTCTAAATGCTGAATGCAGCTCTTTTTCAGCATTACCTAGAGGCTCCAGAGCTGTGTCTGCCAGCAACATCCTTTGCCTTTGTAACTTAAAAACTTTAGACCCTGTAACAGTAACATATTGGTTGTGTGTGTTTCAAACTTGCTGTCCCCTGTGACAACAACAGCTAACACACCATGTACTTTTCCGGAGAAAAAGCTGAGGTGTAGTCTTACAGGATTCATATTGTCCTCTTAAGTCAAGTTAGGGTGTTTTGGAAGCTTTTACCATGGGTTATTTTGCCCAACTTCCTGGGTTCAGAACTTATGCTTTTGCAGACTTGCATCTTCCAAGCACCCATTTCCTTTGACTCCAAGACTGTACCAGTAAATCAATCTGAAGGGTCTCTCTGTGGTACATTGTCTTTCCTACACATCTTTTAAAAGAGTTATCTTCTACATGGTTCCTATCATACATGCTAGGAGCCACAGTCCACTGTTAAAAACTTTTCATGGCCCAGGTACCCAGCATATTCCAAGTTCTCCTACCTCATTCAATTCTTCCTGATCTCTTCAAATACAGTGTAGGAAGGTCTCCTCCCCCCAGCTGCCCCAGGAATTTCATGCTGTTACAGTGCTCAGTCCCTAAATGGTGAGTGACATTTAAAGCCCTGGGCTGTTTGGGAAGAAAATACAAGATATGTAGACTTTTTCCCCTGCTATACTGGGGTTCACCATAACACTCTCTTTTCTAGCAAGTAATAGCTTTCCTAGAAGACCCAGTCATTACAGGATGCTATTCTGAAAGTGCCCAGGGCACTCATTTATACAAAGCTACCCACAGGTAAAAACAAGACAAGTGCCACAAAGAAACCTGCAGGTTGTTTGTCAGTTCCTCAACATGGGGAATTTGCTGTAGTCAAAAATCCACACTGCACTGCCAAGGAGACAGCAAAAGTGGCTCTCACTTATTGATCTGTAATGTCCAGGTATATACATACCTAAACATTATAAAGAGCACTAGAGAGGCCCTGCCAAAGCACATATTCCTGTCTGTCTCCCACAGATGTATTGCAATCCTGGGCAGTCTGATCCCATTTCCAGGAAAGCATTACTGGGAGGTGGAAGTTGAGGAAGATACAGAGTACAGAACTGGTGTGGCTTTTGAGAACACTCCAAGACATGGTCACCTGGGGGCAAACAACTCATCCTGGTGCATGAGGCATATCATCACACCATCAAGGTAAGGCTGTGGAGGCTGCAGGTCTCCTACAGGAACACCTCCCACATGTACATCTGCAGGCAGAGCAGGAGAGATTTCATATCAGCCCAGACCAAACACTTAACGAGAGGCCTCTGACATTCGATCAGTGGCACTGTCAACTGGTCTTGGAAGGATTCTGGAACGTTTAAGTAAATCCTCCTGCTTAATGACATTCTCACATTGAAACAGGCAGTCTCAGGGACAAATCTGAATAAAATCGGAGTTACACAATTTAGCTGTAAAGGCTACCAAAACCCCAGTGGGAAGACAGAGGTAACCCAAGTTACCCAGAAACTCTGTATCTGGCTAAACCCAGTTGTACCCAACTGGTTTTGATCTCTTCTATCTATGGAAGTAGGTCATACCTGTCTGCAGAAATGCCAGTTCCCCTCATGCCTCAGTTGCACTGCTGGACACTATTACATTAGCATCATTTCCTTTGACTCTCATGAGTGATCTGGGCACCCTGTGAAGCATCCAGGAGCAAGAAAACAGTCCCATCCGCAGGCATGCCTGAGCATTGCCTACTGCCTGCCTGGATGGCTCAGTGCTCAGCCAGCCAGAGGTGCCAGGGTGCTGCTGGGTCCCCCTGAATAGGGAGATGGGACAGCACCCTGCACTCAGCAAATGGCAAGGATGGAATAGCAAGGGCCCAAATCTGCCTGTCCTCTGCCTGCCGGTACAGGGAGGTTTTAGATGCACTCAGTTGGCTGGAGCCCTCACTCCTCCCCAGCACCCGCTGCTCTGGGCTGCCCAGCAGGGCAGCAGCTGCACAGCCAGTCCTCAGCAGTGCCAGCATCTGCCTTCCACGCAGCAGGAAATGCTGCTTCTAATGAGGAATGCCAAACCCACCACAGCTAATGATACACTGCAGGCAGGCTAATTGGATTTCCTTGCTACTTTGAGCAAAGAGGTACTTGAGGTTTGTTGTCATTCTTCTGGAGCAATAAGCACGGACTCCAGAGAGAAAAGGAAGCTGGGCCATTGCTCAGCTTGTACCCACTTCTACAGGGAAATTGTCTCAGGTTTGAGCAATGTGGGTGGAAGAGGTGGGTAGTGAATGAGTGGCCCTTAGAAAATGCCAGATAACTCATTCAGCTGAATAAATCTCATTTCTGCTCAGAAAGGCACGTCTCATACATCTTTTTGTTTGCAGCATGCCACACTAGAGAGTTTGAGTAACTGTTTGAGTTAAACTAGCTGTTTGAGTAACTGTTAGGGGACCTCAGCATCACTTAGTGACTACATGGGGAGGGCTACCCTCATGACAAAGCTGTTTACATGCAGAGCACCCTCCTGGGCTCCAATAATCCACAGTACAGGAATCACAATCACTGTAGTAAATGAACATAAAGACTGAAATTTCCCCATGAACACAGGCTGAGCAGGGAGGTCCTGTAGGAAAAAGCAGCCAAAACCATAATTTAGACAGTGGGGTTTGACAAACGATGTCCAACAGCCTGGAGGATGCTTGACCATGCTGTGCATCAGGCAGCCTCTGCCCCAGGGACTACAGTCCCTTGCTGCTGCTGTGAAGGTGGGCGTGAGCAGTTCTGTAACACCAGCAGGAAAGAGGGCTCAGCACCACAGGCCCTTAGGGAGCAAGTGGGCAGCATGGAAGTGCCTGGAAGGACAAGATTGAGTCACCTCACCACCCCCTCCATGCCAGGGCCCACAGCTTCCCAGGGGCAAGTCTTAGGAGATGACAATCAATGGTCTTTCTGGGGCAAACCCAACTGGCCTAAAAGAGCACAGCTCCTTCATGGAGAAAGGGACAAATTCAAGCTAAACCTAGGGGCAAGAGTGCACCCTTTGATTTATAGGACACCCATGCTGTCCTCTGAGGCATAGAAAAAGCCCAGAAAGTTCCATCTTGTGCTCTGACCTTGTCCATTCACAGCCAGACTGGGATCTGAAACAAGCTTAGACAGGCAGGTGCAAGAGCTGTGGGATACGGCTGTGTGGAAGCACAGGGACACCTCCCCTTGGCAAACACAGCCACTGCTCAGCAGTGTGGATGGGACTGGGCATGCAGGAGGGACAGGACTGTGAATTGGGAAGTATATCCTGGAACACATCTGTGTGCTTCCCTTTGAGAGTAGTTCAGGGTGCCCTCAGGTCTTTTGTGTTTCTTGCCTACAGGCACAAGTACGAGTTCCTGCACAGCGGGATGACACCAGACATCAGAATTACTATTCCTCCTACAAGGATTGGCATCCTGCTGGACTACGAGAACTGCAGACTGTCATTTTTCAATGCAGATATTGCCCAGCACCTTTATACATTCAACTCACGCTTCCAGCATTATGTCCACCCCTGCTTTGCTTTGGAAACACCTGGTATCTTACGGATACGTACTGGAATTACAACGCCTCCGTGGACTGCCCTCCTATAACCTGTGTTCTGCCACTACCACACCTACATCTGCCCTCTTTCAGCATCAACTGCTCCATCACACTCCCTGTAAACCAGCTGTTTCCCAAGAAGAGCAAAGCAACCTGACCCAGATCAACTGCCAGGCCTGAGCCCTTACGAGTTACATCCTCTTAGGAAGGATCTTAGCAGAAAGCCACTATGGTCACAAGATCCACCAGATCTCAGAATTCTCCACTTAGAAATAGATACCATCCTTCTCAGAGGTGACACTGTCATCATGCAGCAGTGGTAGCTGGATCATTTGCGTGATCACTTAGGTGACCCCAATACCCATCTGATGCCCAGGGAACTTCCCAGTTCCAGAGTAATCATTAATTCTACTCCTGAGGCTGCTGAAGAGCCAAACATTCAAAGAAAAACAAAAATAGCAAAAGGCATGAACAGTGTACAGCTGCTAGAGCTGAAAACACTCCAACCATGAAGCTGATCTCACAATCAAGTTTTCTTGTTGCTACATGAAGCCTGTGACACGAGATAATCAAATACGCCTCCCCTGTGTGTGAACTGTTAGCGCCTACATACCCAGTGAGGCTTTCTGAAATACCCAAGCATGCACTACAGTCTCAAATATAAGACACTTTTACAGAATGCCCATGTTTCTCATTCATTCATCCAGGGAAAAAAAACAAAAAAACAGGCAGGCTTTTTGCAGTGCTCCACTACCCTTAAAGAGAAACCAAAAGCATCATTTTTATCTGTTTCTTTTTAGCTATGCTCATCTCCACTTGGGTGTAACCTCCCTCCACCCTCACAGATCTGTTCCCCCCCTGAGCACTGAAGAATTCTCACCCCAGTGCTGTGCCCTTGAAGCTTTGGGTATCCATGGGGCTGGAAGCACTCTGGCCCAGCACTCAGTTGAGATGTCCTTGTTTAGGCTTCATTTCCAGACACCAGATGATCAAGACAGCTCTAAACAGCCTCATCTGTGTATGTCAAAACTACCTGAGCTCAATGAAGAGTCATTAACAGAGAAGCTTTTCCACAGATTTATTGCATGTTCATTACAAAATTCACTGATTCAAGTTTCCATTCTAGGGGATAGCCAGGAACAGGCAGGGGCCTCTTCAATATACAGGGTCTCTACAAATAAATGCTGCTGGCAAAACTAAAGAGATTTGACATAGAACTGTGTATCAAAAGCTTGTCTGTTCTTTCCCAAATAGCTTCAGGCCTTCAGAAACCATAAAACCAGGACTAGAATACCTCACTACAGCAGTGATTAGGACCATCTGCTCTTGGATTTCTATTTATTTTGCAAGCCTCAAAAGATGGGTTTAGCAACACTGAGCTATGCAAGTTCAGTCTCATTTCTTAGCCTACCCAGAATTCAGCCATTTCCAGGGCAGAAAGGGTTGTTTGGGTCACCCTGTGAGACCCCCTCTAAGCGGGCCAGAGACTTTCAGTTGCTATGTCTGGCAGTGAGCAAAGGAACCTGTGTTCACCACAAACAGGTAACTCAGCCAGCAACCACTGCCAGTGCAGAGGGCAGGAGGTGGCCATGCACCCCGGTGATCCTGGCACAGCTATACCAGAGAAAGCAGCTCCTGTGCTGGGGAATGAAGTCGAGAGAAAGCACTGTTCTTTGCTAAAAAATGTACACCTTGATTCTGTGTCCAAATTCCACCCACTGGAACATGTTTTACCTGTATCTGCCAGAAATTGAGAGCCCCACTCTTCTTTTCAAGTAGATACCTGAAAGAGTGTAAAACGCAGGTATCCGAGTAGAGGTGTGAGGATGTTTGAACCTCCCAATAAAGCCTTTAAGACACAAAGGCTGCCAGTGAACCCACCATTCTGCTCCCTACAACCAGCTTTCACCTCAAGTGTTTAAACCACAGCTGTATCCTGGCACCAGGATTAGTCTTTCACCTATAACCCAATCCAACATACTTTCCAACTGGTGAAATGAACTGGGAATCCCCAGGATTTCCCAACCCTCTGGCAGGACTGTGCAAGGACACCCTTGCAGTGGGACTCTACAAGTACCAAACAGTTCTATTATGTTCCCAGCTCGATGAATCTGTTGGAGAACGCAGGCCTGACGGCTGACTAGCCTGCTCAGCAGAATGACTCCAGTGGTCACTACCAGGCATGGTACAGGACAGCTAAGGCAGCAACAGAACTATCTGAAAAAAGAACAAATAAGCAATAATTGGCTACTAGGTTAAAAACAGTAAGGGAAATGAATTTGCATATTTCTGTTTAATAAAAGCTTCTCCTTCCTCAGGAATCCCTTAAATATTTAAGCAGCAAAGGAAACTTGGACAACTTGAATTTTTTCAAACCAGCTCTTGCTGTGAACAACCTCTATATAAATCCTTTATAGAGAGACCACCACTTCCACTACAGTTGATCAGACCAGCACGACAGCCAAGTTGGAAATTCACATCAACCCCATCTCTCTGTGTAAGCCCATCAGAAGAGCAAGACATCTCTAAGCCTGTGAGTGAGGGCCAAACCCTGCACAGAACTGGAAGCTGTATTTTACAGTGAAAGGCGAGTTTCCTACTGAAGCCAAAGGGCATTAACAGGTCCAGCACGGTGCCCTGGAGCAGGATAACACCAAGTGTGTCTGGAATCCTGGCTATATCACTCAACTTGGGAGAGCTGTGTTGAGCTGTCAATCCGAGAGCTATTTCTCCACATTGAAAGGTATCTCAGATGAGGCAAAATCAGTTATCTCTAGCCTGTCTACAGAACTCTGGCTGAACTAGATCATACAGAAGGGCAACAGTCAATTAAAAATCAGTTGCCCTTGTCTCTGACGTTACGTGCTGCAAGATGCATTTTTTGTGGTTATTTTCGTAATATTTTTCTTCCTGGTCCTTGTTACTATGTGCATTTACTGGCAGAGAGCAGAATTCATCCTCTAAGAAGGACACGAGCTCATGCCTAAAGCTCTGGTATTGGCCAGCTGAACCCCACAGGCTGCCCTGATGTGCAGAAGTGATCCATGCATCCTTGCAGAGCTTGAAACAGCAGAGACTGCTAAAGGCCAGAATACCCCCAACCATGCCTCACCCAGCAGCTAACTGGGGACTTTGCCAGGGCTGCCCAAACCCCTTCAGAGTGGGCTAAAAGAACCACTTTTTCCAATTCCCTTCTATTCTCTGTGATTTCAAATACCTGTACATGTTGTTGCCACTGGAGGGCATCATGTGAAGCCCTTTCCCAAGGCTGCACCAGTTCTCGGAGTTTACACCAACCATCTAAGGCTGAAGACAGAGTTTTCAAATTGGTTACCATAATCCTTAGGCAAGTCCAGTGTCCCTCCTCACCCAGTGCTGGAGCCGGGAACAAAGGGACCCATGGGCCTATGAGCAAAAACACACGAGACAACTTCAAAAGCAAAAATACAAGAGAAAACACAACAGTCCTGAAACATGCTTTAGTGTGTTTGATTCAAACCAAAGATCCCCACCATTTTCTACAGAAACACATGACTTTTAACCTGATCCCTCTCACTGCTATTAAAACTTTGTAGGTAGATGAAGTAGGCCCTGACTTTATCTCACAGGCAGGCCTTGTTCTTCCACCATTTAATTTAGGAGGATAGTATCAGTGGAGTCAATATAATGCCACTGGCTCCACTTTCTTAGTCCTCCAGATGAATCCCCATAAAAAACTCTGGGAAAGTCTCAGGAGTTGACTGCACCCTCCTAAAGGAGACCGCAGAGCCTAACCATTCAGCTAGGAGGGCAATTCCCTTGTTCCTGTCCTCAAACTCTGCTGAATCTTTTTAACTGCCCACCTCTGTTTCCCGACAGGAACTGATATTACTCACTAGCAGTGCACAGCAAATCTGCCAGGGACCATGCAAAGGTGAGGCCCTGCTTCCTGTTCACCTCAGCACCTGGACTCCACTGCACAGTCCTGGGCCAGCCCAACACACAATGCTGCCTTTTTGTTGAATTTTCTCTTCATTGAGGTTATGCTGCCGTGCTCAGTTGCCACTGGGACTCAGTTGTCCAGGCCAGCTTACTTTTAAGCTTTACTTGCTCTGATACAAGCAATATTGAGACCCGAACTGCATGTAAAATGGCTGCAAGGGGCTGCACGCTCTGCCAAAAGGGTGCGCATCCCACAGCTGGCTCTGAATAAAAGTGGGTTTCTGCAGAGGGAAACCTGCGGCTTAAACAGCAACAGAAAGGCAGAGGCAGCCAAAAGCAGGGTCTCGGTCTACATCACAAAACCAGGGGCAGGATGGCCCACGCTGCCCCAGCTACTGCCCTGGCCATGTGCGGGCGGGCGGGCAGCGCTTACCTGCGTCCCGGGCACAGCGTCGCGGGCGGGGGCGGCTCTTCACCGGCCCCGGCCCGGCGGGGGCTTCCACGCGGGATGCACATCAAGGCGGCCGGTCCTGTGAAGGGACACACGGGTTACGGGGACAGCCGCGGGCAGGAGGCCGAGAGCGGGTAGGCCGCGCCTCGGCGGCGCCACCGCAGAGGGACCCGCTCGGGCTGCACGGACAAGGGGCCCCCGCTCCCCGGTGCGGCCCGCGCTCCCTGCGCCGCGGGGCCTTTCCGTGCCCTGCGAGCGAGCGCGGGCAGGAGGCCGTGCTCGAGCTCCGCCGGCCGCCCTCGAGCACCCGAACCCGCCGCGGGCAAGCAGAGGAGCCGCTGCGCCGGAGCAGGGCCGGATTTCCCTCCCCGCCAAGAGCTCCCGCCGCCTCACCTCGCGCCGCCGCCATTTCCGCGCAGGGGCCGCCCCGCGCCTCTCCCGCCCCGCCGGCGGGGCGGGGGCTCGGGCCGCGGGCGGGGCCGGCGCTGTCCCCGCTGGGACAATCGCGCTCTGACACCGGGTGGGCGCTGCTTTTCATCCTTCTGTCGGGCTGCGCCGGGAGCCCTCGCGTTTTACCCGGGTTGGGAGCTCTGTGCCGGCCCTGCTGCCGCCCGGCCCGGCGAGAACTGACTGGCCGAGCCGAGCCCACCACACTCGGCGCTCACTTGGGCCCTACCTGCTCCTCGGCTGCACCGTGGAGCGGCTCCTCCGGCGATGGCTCCATCCGTAACTCACTTGTTGCCTCCAGCCAGCCCTGTCCCAGATGCCACCATCCTGCACAGCACCTGCCGAGATTGAACCTCTCCATTCCTTCCCATAACATGTTCTCGATCCTGCAGGTTGAAGCCCTGCTGATGGGCAAGGGGTTTCCTTCCCCCTGGGCCCTACTTCAGGCACAGCCCTGGCATGGCTGAGGAGGCACCAGCCCTCGGCAGCCGCTGGGTCTCCATCAGCAGGGCTAGGGGCAGGACAAAGCTCCTGAGGTTTCTCATTGCTGGGATAAGTGTTCCACAGCTCCCAAACCCACCTGTGTGGGCACCTTCCATCCAGGCTGGGCTGGGCCAAAATACCTCTCTTTGGAGGTATTTTGCATTCAGTTGGATACACTCAAGTTTTCTCTCAATATCTAACCAAAATTCCTTATGTTCCATCTACAGTGTTGCAAAATGCATTGTCAGGTGATGCCTGGGGTCACACCAGCACCTCCCGCCCTGTGCTCCTGTGCTCACCTGAAAGCTGCAGCCGGGCTGCTGGAGTAAACCTTGTTACTTTGCCTGTGCAGTCAGTCAGATATATTTCATGGTCTGCATAATAAAATGCTTGATAAAATAAACATTGAATAGACTCGGCTCATCTGAGTCCGCAAAGCTTTGTTGTAGCAAGAGTCACTAGCAGCCCTGCTTGCTTTCCCTCCTTTGGTGTGGCTTTTCCGGCTTTCAGGATAGCACCTGATGCTTTTAACATAGGTCTGGGCTTTGGGAGAGCCTCAGCATCCTCAGATAAATTGCTCCGTGTCTTACAGGTTGGCCCATGAACAGCCAGCCCAGCCCAAAGCCATATGTGCACATTCAGCCCTTTCAGTCGCAGTGCATGGTGAGGAGTACTCAGCTGGTCATGAACCTGCAGCTCACTCTCTCCTCTGGGCCAGCTACACTCCTGGGTTTCACTGCACTCCTAATTCCTCAGGGCCTCCCAGGACAGCTGATGGCAGGAAAAACAGCCACGGGAGGGAAAGCTGAGGAGGGGATGGTTGCTAAGGCTCAGTGCAGAGGCAGCCATTGGAGGCTGCTGGGCTTCTTCCATAACTTTTTATTCTTGCAAAAGGCAAAGAAGTAGCCAGAGATA